CAAGGGGCCGCACCCTCCGCTGGCACAGAGCAGAGCAGCGTCGCCGGGAATGCTACAGGCCCGGAGGAAGAGCTGAAGCAGGCTTTACAGAGACATGCTGTGCTCTGGAGCCCAGCCAGAGACACGGGGGCTGAAAATATAAAAATATAATGAATAAACCTCTAACAACCCCCCCTCCAGTCCCTGCCTTCTCCCTCTGTTGGGTGCTCTGCTCCTTGCTCAGCCTCCCGCTGCTGCTGTGGGGTTATTTTGGTCTGGCAATCTGATCCGCACCAAGTTTATTTTAGCACCTTGGAGAACTCCCAGGCTGATGGATTCCTGCTCCTGCCACAGATCCCTTTTCATCCTGGGCCCAGCTTGTCTCTCCCACTCCTCTCCAGCCCTTCCCCCAGCTGCACATGACCCTGCACCCCCCTATCATGACAACATGCTCCCCTGGGGGAGGCAGGTTGGGGGGGGTCTGCTGCCTGGTTGCTGGAAGTCCCTTCATCCTGGCTGCTGCACATCGGATCAGCTGCCAGCGACAGCACAGGACAGCAAAGTCCTCTCTCCCCATGACTCACAGACACCCAGAACCCCAGCTGGCATCGCCAAGAAACAGCAGCTGGCAGCCAAGAGGCTTAACAGGAAGCCCCAGCATCTTCCCTGCTTGCAACCACCCCGCAGTGCTCTGGACATCAACTCCCAGCCCCATGGAGAGGCTAATTTCAGCTTCGGGATTCAAGCTGATCAGCAGAAACAGCTGCACGGAGTACCAGGAAGGAGGGCACAGCACGTTGGTCCTGCTGCCAGATGAAAATCGTGGCAGGAGTGGAGCCCGGGCGTGTTAGGATGCGATTCGGGGACACCTGTGCACCGAAGAGGGAGGAACGGAAAAGCAGCCAAGGCTCAAACCGATGGGATCGACCAGTATTCCTGCCACTTATTTCCACCGGGCCTCCGAGCCCAGGCTTCAGCAGAAACGCTCTCGTCTCCGAGACCTTCACACACCATAGCTCCGGGTGTCACGTTCTCTCTGCTCAAGTGCGGCCGTCGCCAATTGTTTAACGGGACACAAGAATGCTCCGCCACCCGGTCGGGTGAGAAGTGAAGGAGAAGCCAGTGGAAGCTGCTTCGATGATTTGAATCACTCAGGATGTAATGCCCCAAATTAGTTATTGACCAGGAGAACAAGGTCAAACGGGCTGGAGTGTGGCGCTAGCTAGGAAAAATTTCAACTCTATTTCATCAGAGCATGTACTTGTGTCAAAATCTAATCACTCGGGGAAGCCAGGCTGATTTTATTGGAGCTTGGCTTTGGAAGGGAACTTGGGGAGGGGAAAATTAAAAAGTCTGACAAGGTCACAGAGTCAGTCTCTGGCCTTTGCAGAATGGGATTTCATTTCGAGAAGCCTTTTGGTTTCAGTTTTAATGACTTTGTCTGACACTGGTAATGACACGACCACCCAAGAGAGTCTGCGCTGAAAGGAGATATTTGGATTGACCCAAAATATGTTTAAATGTGGCCTTAATGGGGGTCTTTGGATATTTTCCCTTTTCAGTCCCATTCTGAACAAAGCCAGGTGTCAAAATCTCAAAGCCTATTGCAAAATGGAGCTCCCCTCCCCCTGCCTAGCTGATTCTGGTGGAACGTGCTAGGGGGATTTTCCTTTACCCATTGTGAGTCTCGCTTGCAGATGCCACCTCCGGTAGTGTCCTGCCCAGGAACCTTGGCACGGTGCTGAATCAGTAGGAAACTGCCTTCCAGAAGCCTCCAGTGCCTGATCTCTACCCTGCATCCCACCAGACTTGACAAGGGGCCTTGGGTACAACGCTGCTTGCACAAGGAAGCCTGTGTCTGTGCCTCTGGCTGGTAACAGCAGCTGAGAGAAGAGGCAGGAAGGAAGCAACTCTTTCCTGCTCTATCTGGGCTTGGGCTCTGCTCCTCACACCCCCGTGATTATTTCTCCTTGGGTTCATGATTACTCAGCAGCTCTCCAGCCTCTCTGCCATCCGCCTGCCTGACGCTGAGGGGTAGGAAAATCCTCCCAGTGGCTCTTAGGCCTTATCAACCCCTTCCAATGACTCAAAGTTTTTTTCAGATTGGATTTCCCAGTGCCTCTCTGTCCCCTGGCACGTCTCTTAGACATGAGACTCAGCAGCAGAGATACTTTTCACGTCTCTTAGACATGAGACTCAGCAGCAGAGAAACTGTTCCCCTACTCTGTGCAGTGTCGAGCCTCCACGTCCAAGCTATAGCACATTATACAGAGCACGTGAATGAGATGCACTCACTGATACAGAGACATTATGCTGGGGTGAGGCCTGGAGCAAGTGCATTCATTGCTCCATGCCTCAGTTTCCCCATCTGTAGTGGATCTAGTGGTACAGCGATCTTTCACAAACCACCACAAGAGCCAAGGCCGAGAAGCACTGCATGAGAGCTGGGTGTTGCAAGTGGGTGAGCAGCACCCACTCATGCACACCCTGGGTTATCTCAGCCCCCAGTAGCTCTGGCTGAAAACCGGAGCAAAGACCTTGCTCAGCCACTGGGGCTATTTGGGAAAAAAAATCTTGCCCCAAGCAACTATTCTGTCAGGCCAGGCCTCTAGTCTGGTACCACATAAACCAGTACAGCCTGTTCCACGGTCAGGTTATCTGCAACTAAACCGGTGCCCCCACCTGGGCTTGCCCGTGTGAGCAGGGTGCGTGGACTACAAACCAATCCTGTCAATGGGCAGATGAGCTCCCTGCGAGCCAGCAGCCACCCATACCAGGAGAGGAAGATGGGCACTGCCAGGTCACTTTGCCCAAACGATCCCCAATGATGCAAAGCAGCTCAACTAACCTCATCAGAGCGGAGGAGGGTTGTTGCAGCATCAAAGGTGCCCCAATGGTCGTAGTGGCCTTGGGACAAACCTAGGTGAGCAGTGGGAGCACTGGCAACGCTGGCAGTAAAATGAGGGGGGAAGCCGAATTGGCAACCTTCCCTCAACCCACTGCTGCCTCAACAGCCACTTCCGATTCCCGGCCAGGCCAACTCATGCTCCTTCTTGGAGACGTCCTCTTGCTGCTGCCACACTCAGGCCAGGGCTGATGGCAGAAGCAGGGGCGAGCTCCCCACTCCACCCCAAAGGGAAATGCGTGGACCTGAAACAGCCCTGATGGGGTTTATATTTTTCCTTATACATATCTATCTATCTATCTATCTATCTATCTAGCAGCAACTACCTATACTGCAACAACTATCTATCTATCTATCTAGATAGATAGATAGATGGATAGATCGATCTATATATTTATATATTTCCTTACATTTTTCCTTCCAGGAAGAGCACACACCAACCGCACACGCTCCCTCAGCCTGACGAAGGGTATTTACCCCCCCGCAAGCTTGCTAAGAAGAATTTTCCCAATCTAATAAAGAATATCAGATCTACAAGAAATTGTTACAAGAAATAATGGCCACAAGCTAGCAGAGAGCAGATTTAGACTGGACATTAGGAAGAACTTCTTCACAGTTCAAGTGGCCAAGGTCTGGAACGGGCTCCCAAGGGAGGTGGTGCTCTCCCCTCCCCTGGGGGTCTTCAAGAGGAGGTTGGATAGGCATCTAGCTGGGGTCATCTAGACCCAGCCCTCTTTCCTGCCTATGCAGGGGGTCGGACTCGATGATCTATTGAGGTCCCTTCCGACCCTAACATCTATGAATCTATGAATCTATGATACCCAAAGAACCCCATCTGCCCATATTTTTCCATAAGTTGATCCCTGTCCCCAGCTCCTTTTCCGAAGCGAATCTTGCCCCGCTTCGAGGCGGCCGGCACCCACCCGGACGGGCCAAAGAGCGTCACCCAAAACGGGAAAGTCGCATCCCGCGCCAAGGGCGCAGCCCTGAACGGAGGTCACCACGACCTGGACACGGGAATTGGGCATCAGAAACCGACTTCAGCTTCAAGCTTTTTCCGGCCAGAAAAAAAAGCAAACCCCCACCAAACCCCCCCCACCCCCCCAAACTACAGGGCCCAGC